CCTGTCTATCACTTTGAACCTGTTTCATAGATTCTATTTCTTTCCTAAATTGTTTATTCAGGGGTTCCATCATTTTTATATTCTCCTCTATTTTTTTGTCAGTGTATTCTTTAGAAGCACTTAGTACTTCTTTGATTATAGTTACCACTGCATTTTTTAGTTCTGAAATTATTTCTTGTATACCTTTCTGCAATTGATTCTTTACTGTCAACGCTATTATTTCAGAGATACCTGGTGCGTGATTTCCAGTTTCCTTAGTGGTAGTGTCTTCTGCATTTGTACTGGGTGGACTCGGGGCCTGAGACTGCATTTTATTCCTTCTTTTTGTCTTTTTGTCTACCTGTCTTCTGCCCTTTGGTGTAGAGCTTAGATAGAGTTATTACCTTAGCACCAGGTCCAGATCTACGAAGTTCAGATTCCTCCAGGTGAGTGTTGTTTGGTTCTGGCTGCTGTGCTCCACTTCTTTCTGCTGCCGGTGTTAGAGCTGAACCCTTTGTGTCTCTCTGGCAAGATGTTCTTCTCCTGAATCAGATGGGTGGGTCTTGCCTCTAGCCTCTTTGCAGGGAGTTCTGCTGAAGGTTTCTGTGCTGGGCCTGAATGCAGCCTGGGTCACATGAGGATCCCCAGGCCCCGGGTCGTCTCATTCACTCACCAGGCCTGCACTCTGGGTCTGTTCAGGATCCCGTGGCCCCGGTCATCTCACTCACTCGTCGGGCCTGCGCTCTGGGTCTGTTCAGGATCCCGCGGCCTGGGTCGTCTCACTCACTCTCCAGGCCTGCGCTCTGGGTCTATTCAGGATCCTGCGGCCTGGGTCGTGTCACTCACTCGCAGAGCCTGCGCTTTGGGTCTGTTCAGCATCCCGCGGCCCCGGTTGTCTCACTCACTCCCCGGGCCTGAGCTCTGGGTCTATTCAGGATCCCGCAGGCCCCCGGTCATCTCCATCCTAGTTGTTTTTGAGAGATCTTTTCTTACCTTTTCACTAGCTGTACCATCATCTTCAAGATCTGAAACTCTGTCTTCACTTTCACTCAAATGGTTTTGCAAGCATGTAATTGAAATTTTATTATCCTCTATATCTCTTTGACTCTGCTTCATGCGATCTATTTGTTTCCTATATTGCTCATTCAAGGAATCTGTCATTTTTCTAATCTCTATTTTTTTTTATCAATGTCTTCTTTAAAAGCAGTTATTAATTCTTTTACTGAAGAGTTTTTTTCTTATTGGGTTTCCTCCCTATGTTTCTGTATTTGATTCTTTACTTCAGATGCTGTGATTTCAGAGATTTCTTTTTTGTTTCAGAAATTAATTCTGCTGAGTTCCTGTATAACTTTCTGCTGTTGCTTATTTACTTTTGACACTATTAATTCATACATTTCACCTGAGCTAGTGTCCTCTGATCTTGTTCTGGGTCGGCATTACGTTTCCCCCATGTTTCTGCATTTGATTCTTTACTTCAGATGCTATTAATTCTGAAATTTCTTTTTTATTGCAGATCTGAGTTCCTCTATACCTTTCTGCAGTTGTTTCTTTATTTCAGAAGTTCTTGATCCATTGATTTCAGCTGTGTTACTCACAGTTTTTTCTGTTCTAGTGTCCTCTTCACTTGTTATGGGTGGGCTTGGGGTCTGAGATTGCATTTTGCTCCTTCTTGTTTTCATTTTGTAGAGCACTGTCTTCTTTGTTGTAGAGCTTTGGTGCAGTTATAACCTTAGAACCTACTGAAATTCAGGTGCAAATCTACAAAGTTTGAATTTATCCCGTTTTTCCTGACTTAGGTCTGGCTTCTGTTCCCAGCTCCTTCCTGCTGCAACCCTTGGGAGTGAACTTGTTATGCCCCTCAGGCAAGATGTTCTGCTCCTGGACTAGCTGGTGTTTCTGTCTCCTATTCTCTCTGCAGGGACTGCAGCTGCAGATTTTCACCCCAGGTCTGTATGCCAGGCCTGAGCTGAGTCTGAAGTGGGAGAGGGGGAGCAGGGAAGAGGGGAAGCTCTTGCACACACTCACCGGGCCTGGGATAGGGCTGGATCTGGGGGTCCTGAGAATGCAGCAGAAGTGCTCACTCACTCCACTGTCATGGGGCGGGGGGCTGTGGACTGGTGGTGGTGGGTCTCAATGGCGTGGAAAAGGGTCTCACTCACACTGTGCTTGGGCTTGGACTGGACAGTTCCTTTGGGCGCATGGCAGCTGGGAGCTCTCCCACTAACATGTGATTGTTTTTTAAATTTTATTTTGTTTTATTGAGAAATAAATATCAACGAGAAAGTTTTAAAGCTGATTAATAGGACATTTTCAATAATTAATATATTGTACATTGTCCAAGATGTGATTTCAATGTTGTTTTAATTTTACTTCTTAAATGACTAATGAAGTTGATCATTTTTTTCATATATTTATCTTCATTTTATACTTGTCCATCTTAGAACTGTGCATTGGTCTCTCCCCTTTTTGGGCTGGATCTTTGAATTGGGGATGATTTTTTCAATACTTTATATGTTCTAGATATTTATCTGAGGGGCAGAGAGCTAAATTTTTTCTCACTCTGTGGGTTCTCTTTTCACTGTGTTGATGATTTCTTTTGATGCACAAAACTTTTCAATTAGATGAGATCCCAGTTAGTGATTTTTTGAAGTCCTTCCTATGCAATTTGGGTTTTATTTGTGAACTCTCTGCATCTCCCAATGTCCTCAAGATTTCTACCTACTTTCTCTTCCAGTAGATTTAGTGCTTCTGTTATAATATTAAGATCTTTGGTCCATGTTGACTTTAATGCATGGTATAGACATGGGTCTAGTTTTAGTCTTCAGCATGTGGAAAGCCATTTTCCAGTGCCATTCATTAAAGAGTCTATCTTTCTTCCAGTGAACCTATTTGGCCCCTTTGTCAAAGACAAGGTGGCTGAGTGTGTTTGTAATTATGTTTGCATTTTCTATTCTGTTCCACTCATCCGCAGGTCTGTTGTTTTGAGCCAGGGCTATGCTAATTTTATGACACAAATTTTGTAGTATAATTTCAAGTCAGGGGTTGTGATGTTTCCTGCCTTGCCTTTTTTGGCTAGGATTAGTTTTGCTCTTCTAGGTCTATTCCATTTCCAAGTGAATTTTAGGCATGTTTTCTCCAGCTCTGTGAGGTATTATTGTGGTATTTTAATTGGAATTGCATTAAATTTGTATAAAACTTTCATGAGTATAGCCATTTTTAAATGTTGGTTCTTCCTATCCAGGAACAAGGAATGCCTTTGCATTTTCTGATATCATAATTGAGCT